GTTAGGTGGCATGAACCGCTTTAGTTGTTTTCGCATTTTAGGTTTCAAGTTGATAACTTAAATAACCTATATGATGATGCATTATACCGTATGCTCTTATGTTGTTTATTTGCATAAATATTGTTATTTATGCTAGAAATACTTTAAAGTAGCTTAGGATGATCCCTGAGCCTCATTTTTGACATAGACGTTAGGTAGCATGAATCTTATGTAGTGTTTCATATTAATGTGATAATAATGTAAAATATTAGGTCTATGCATGATTATTCCCTATGAGTAATACAAGTTACTCACCCGGCATAATGCGATTTATTCCAGGTACAGGAAATCGTGATTTGAGATTCATACTATGCCTTGGATGTTTTGTATACTTGAAGTATTTAATTTATGCAATTGTTAGCATGAATTGCTATTTTTGGTTTAAAATGTTAAAATTTGTATATTTGGTTCTAAATATATAATATGTACGTAAGTACATCTTTTGTGATGTATTTGACATGTATGTAATGAGACCACGGGCCAAATACATTTATTTTATATTCTAAGTACTTTTACTTTCAAGCTATTTTATTAAAAAATAGAAAAATGGCATGCTTTAACTAGACTACATTTGCATGGGTGGTGGGAAGTGTGCTTTTGCACCTCCATAGGGTCTCTTGATTTATACATGAAGTGTGGCTTAGGGCCAAAAGGTCTTTTGAAACCATTTTATAATTTTAAGTTTCAAATTTTATTTTAAAAGTCCATTTTAGGCATTTTTGAACTTTGATAGGTCAATTTTTGCATCAGGCTTATATGGGGCCCACGAGTCATTTCTACGTACTTAAAATCACTATTTATATTTGCGTGCATGATCGTTTTAGCACACAATACCATTTAGGGTCAAATGAACACTTGGTGTAAAGTTGTATTTTCGTCGTTTTTGACCTAAACTGATGTAGGGGCATTTTGTGAATTTCATTTGAAAAATAAATTCCAGTCTTGACATGGTCACATAGTAAACGTGATTTTAGGGTGGGTTTCTTCACAACATTTTTCCAGAAAATGTCGTCTTGGCCTTGAAAATCCCGCGTTAAATCTGATTTTCTGGTGCGTGCATGCATTTTCAGGAAAAAAAAAAAAAAAAATTGTCTGATATAAAGGCATTTTGGACATTTTACATCGCATTTTCAAAATTTCTTTCGATACAATCAGCTTGTAAAAATTATTTTAAGGAGGGTTTCTTCTTCGTATTTTTCCAAAAAATATTATTTAGTGCCTCAAAAGGGCACACGATTTTCAGCATTTCTGCCCAGGTACTATTCACTGCTATCAAAACACTGCTCACGGCCGGCACGACGTTAAAACTTTGTTTTACCTTTTCTCTTCCATCCGAACTCCGAATCAAGTGATTCTTGAGTTTAAGTTCATTTATTTTTCACTGTCTATCCAGTGGTGTGCTCGGTAGCACCCAAATCGTTTTGAAAATTATCATTTTGCCCTTGGGGCTAAACTTGTCCGGTTTCTCTTTTAAATTGCTTCCGCTATGCTTTCTTTTGAGTTCTATGACTTAATGAGAAGTCAATGATATGTCTTGGGGATGACGTACATTTCTAGAGATGTTGTTTCCATGTAAAAAGACTATTTTACCCTTCAGGACTTATTTGGTTTTTTCTAATATTTTTCTTCCGCATTAGTTCTCGTTGAGTTCCGTGGCCTCATGGATGGTCACTTTGGCATCTTAGAGATACAATGCATTTCTAGAGACTTGATTTCTGTTTTTGCTACCGCATTCGGATTCGTTATCGGGTCAAATTTTGATTTATCATAGGACGCACTGGCTTGAAAAACAAAGGCCATAACAGAATCTTTAATTATGCTCCAATTCTGATGAGATAGAGAATAACATTCCTAAACCACTCTTGTGTTAAACCACGTCAAAAAAATTTGAAAACTGCACCGTTTTAAGATATGAAAAAATTATTAAAGTTTAAAAACTGCACCTTTTTGAAATAAGGAAAATTCACCATACTCTGACCACGTTATCTCTTCCTCAACTTTTCCAAAAAAAGACCCTCCCTCTATCTCCTCTTGCTCATTCCCATGATTGGGGGAACATTTTGTGCCAAAAATGAATATTCTTTGTCATGGACTTAAGATGAATGAAAATGTGATTATAAGACATGCAACTTTTACTGGCAATAATAATGATTAAAAAATTATATATATATATTGAGTTAGGAAAATACAACCAAAAGCCCTATATATAGAAAAGATGAGAGCAAACATTGGTCAGGTTAAAACAGAAACAGAGACCATCGCAACTTGTTTAAAGATAGAAATAAAGAGGAGCGAAAGTGAAGATTTTTTTTGAATACGTTAAACGCAGTGAGAGTATGGTGAATTTTTCTTAATGGATTTTCCTTAATTCAAAACGGTGCAGTTTTTAAACTTCGATAAATTTTTCTTATTTCAAAGCGGTTTCTATAAAGAAAAGTTGATGTAGTTTAACAGCGGCAGCAGTAGATAGATTTTAAATGTCAGGTAAGAATTCAACTTAGGATAATTTAAAAAATATTTAACTTAGAGAATCTAAGTCCGTGTTAAAGATAGGGAATTAGGAAAAGATCATAAAAATTACCAAAATCAAAACACAAAAATCAAAGAAAATTTATTTTATGTTATATATATATATATATATATATATATATATAGACACACACACACACATACGGATAGTGAATTAAGGCATAATTTGTACTTAAAAAAAAAATTGAATGAGATAACAATATAACAAATAATAAATTATATATTTATACTTACAAAAATAATTTATTTATGTTATAATATATAGTTATTAACATTTCTTTATAAAATATTGTGATTAACAAAAAAAAATTAGAGTTAAGAGTCATATTGCATAATTTGCACGATAAATTTTGTACTAAATCACGATGTATATCTCAATACTTCCTCTTTAAATAAATTTTAAAAATTTTCTTGATAATAATAGTAGAAGACCTTGACATTAAAATGGGAAAACAAACCATTAGAAATATTATATAAGAAGTAAATGAACCAGTCAATCTGGTATAAATGTCATGTAATATTACTGTCCGTTAAGGGTCCAATAAGCAATCCAGTCAATAGTCAATATGAGGTACCTCATTTATTAAGTTTCCATAGATGAAATTTCATAAAATTAATGTTCTGGAAGTAGAAAGCATACACACAGAGTTTACAATTTCCTATATTATTAAATGTCAAGTGGTTGAGAACGTATGGATTGACCATCGTCATCTCCTTGATTGAAGGAGGAAAGAGAGGAGGGATGAAAAAAGTTTTTCATATTTGATTTAAAGGGACGAAATAATTTCTCTGTATATATCACACACAATTAACGGGATTTGGTCAAGAAGAGGAAAAGAAGAAGACTGACTTTTAAAGAAAGACTGCATACTGGAAGAGGCCCGGGAAATAGAATTACAAAGATGAAAGATCAATGTAACAATATTGATGTGAAAGACCTAAAATAACAATAGTTGGAATGGCTGGTGAATTCATTTGCATTACTTGCATTGTAAGGATGCAATGAAATGACTGGCCATTTTAATATCATAGTTCACCTCTAATACGAGCTCAGAAACTTGAACCTTCTTGGTTCAATTTTTTGATAACCGAAATTATTTATTGTACAAAAAATTGTTTAGTTGATAATTTTTTGGATTGAATTGTTTCTTTTATAGTTATATTGAATTTTTATTTTTATTTTTTTACGAATTTTCTAGACTGTTTTTTAATTGACAAACCAAACAACCTCTAACCCACCCATATACATAGGTATATCAAGTACAAATTGGCCCAGAAACCGGATTCAATATTTTATATCAAGTCGGATTTAGACGGAGAGAGAAGACATGAAAATGCAAGGAATAAGGGCAGCAATGTATGTCAATCTCTGTCATGTATGGAGGATAAGTAAAAGAACAGAAAGAAAAGGCAAAAACAAATGCAAATAAAGAGATTTGAAAGTAAAATTAAAACTATATTAGTTAATTACTAAAAAAAAACCTTCAGCTATCACTCTTCCAGAGTGAGGTAGATCAGTGGTTTGGTTTAAAGGGCATAATGGCATTGGTCAAATTGGGTTGGGAAATGGGAACTAGGGTGGTTAAATCAACTATCTTGCTTAGGCCCATTATAAGGTCAGGGCTGGGCTTCGAACAATATAGTAAACAACTTGGGCTTACGTGGTCACGTCTAGGAATAAAAGGAATGTGAGTGCCAATCAATGTAAGATATATGTGCTTTATTGGGCCTTTTGACACTGGTTTAAAAGAAGCATGCAAGTTCTCTCCGAGTAGTTAACCAAAAAAGTTCTCTCCGGGTGACATCATAAGATTTTTACTTCTAATCAAATTTATGTAAAACGTAAAAAAGGGTATATGTGTCCCAAGTTTAATTTCGGCTTGCAATTTTCTAACCGGTCCACAAAAGCCTTGTCCGGCTTGAATTAGTCGAAGTTGATTTATAATCATCCTCACTTTGAAGAAAAACAGCTCTTACAGCTCATAGAAAAGACTCCGTATTCAATTAAAGTCCCATATATATATTCATCTTCAGTCATTATAAATCTAATTAATATTGTTAACCTCACATGAGAAGCTTAATTAATGTAAAGTCAAAAGGTTTATTTTTCAAATGTCAGTTATAAACTACCTTGCATTGTCTAATGAAAACACGTGCAGCAGTAGTTTCCTTTGAAAAGACAAACAACGGGTCATTCACAAATATATCTATATCTATAAATTCATGTATCTATATATATAAATATATACATCCTCACTCGGTTTTGATCACATGACTACGGTCAATTCTCTCTCCTCTCTTTAATATGTGCAAAGTCGACCCACGCCACATGCATGGACATTGTTGGTCCGCTATGCGTATAAAAGGACCATTGCTCCTCGAAACATTTCATACTTGATCATATATATATCATCCTCTTTATCTCTCTCTCCCTCATTACATATATCTCTCTCTAGTAATTTTAGTTTCACACAATTTGATCATGAAGGTTGAAGTACAGAAAAGATATGCTTTGCTACTAGCAGCAAATGATTCTGAGTATGTGAAGGAAGTGTATGGTGGCTATTTCAATGTGTTTGTTGCAGCTTTCGGGGAAGAAGGAGAGAGGTGGGACTTGTTTAGGGTTGTTGAAGGAGAGTTCCCAGACATCAATGACCTCCAAAACTATGATGGTTTTGTGGTGAGCGGTAGCCCTTTTGACGCTTACGGCAACGACCATTGGATTCTCAAGCTTTGCTTTCTATTGCAAACCTTGGATTCCATGCATAAGAAAGTCCTTGGTATTTGCTTTGGACACCAGGTAATTAATAGACTACTTAATTTTCACATTGTATATATAATTCATATTGTGTTTACTATAATATATATATATTTGATTCATTGAAAAAGAAACTAATCCATGGTTATATATATATATATATATATATATATATATATATAGGTTTTGTGCAGATCATTGGGTGGAAAAGTTGGGAAGGCAAACAGTGGTTGGGATATTGGGCTAAGAAAAGTGAAAATTGTGAAAGATTTCTCGCCATGCAGTTTCCTTGAAGGGTCGGATGAAATCCCAGCAGCCCTTTCAATCATTGAATGCCACCAAGATGAGGTATGGGAGGTTCCTGTAGGTGCTGAAGTCATTGCATATTCAGATAAAACTGGCGTGGAGATGTACACCATCAGAGACCACATTCTAGGGATTCAAGGTCATCCAGAGTACACCAAAGACATTCTTAACAATCTCATCGATCGTCTTCTCACAAACGAATCTATAGAGGTACTAAGTTTGTTCCATTTGTTTCTTACTCCATTAGTTTTTCATATAACTTAATTCATTTCCCGTTTCTCTTGAGCTCATTTTGGTTACTTAATTATTACTTGCAGAAAGGTTTTGCTGAAGACGCCAAATCGAAATTGCAGATAGCCGAACCAGATAGAAAGTGTTGGGAAAAGATTTGCAAAGGCTTCCTCAAGGGGAGATGGAATTAACTAGCTGGCAAGCTAATTACTTGCATGTATAACCAATATATATATATGTAACCAAATTTTCTTTATGATCGATCTCTTTAATAATTAATTTTACGATACTTTTCGGCTGTTGTTTTGTACTTTTAGAATAACCAACTTGGTTATAAGTATTTACCCAAAAATAATTGTTTAATATTTCACCGAGAACAATACTCTTTTTTTTTTTTTTTTTTTTTTTTTATTATTATTATTTTTTTATGATTCAGAACTCCCTGAAATAAAACCCCTTAGGGACCCCACCCCATGGCGCCAAACTAGAGGTAATGTAACAATACTTGTTTATATAGCATAAACAAGTCCCATACAATATTGTATACTCTTTGATCTGATCGATAATGAAGAAATATTAAATATTGGAAATAACATTGCCTCTGTATTATATCATGTGTGTCCCTTACATTTGTCTTAAAAGTTTAACCTAGAAGAATCATTTTTGAAATTCCTGCAACTTGTTTGGATAATTGGCATTCTTTAGGGATTGGATGAATCAGGATAAGGTTTTCCAATATTATTCGGATAATATGCCAAAACATGGTCCTTAAGGGAAGACCACTTTTCCATTCATTTGAGCAAACAATTACACAAAATATTTGAAGCGAAAGGAACTTGAAGTAAGAAATATAATTCTACTGTGTCATGTGAGACACAATAAGAAATGGATTGGAAATTATAATTAATATGGATTTTACTTGATTTAATGATATAAACATTTAATTCAACATATGTTACATCTCATTCAAATTTTTATAGGCAGGCAGACACTGTTCAATTCAATAAATGAAATTAACTTATTATTTTGAATAAATTGATTTTATGGCGGTGATACTCGCGCTTCAAATTTACAACCAAAAAAAAAAAAAAAGAACGGGCGCTCCCGCCCTCATTCTCAGCAAGAAAGTCCCTATATACATTACGTGCAAAAGACGTATTTTGACCGAAAAAAAATTATGTGTTATTTGATAAAACTGAAAATTAAGTAATTAATTTTAAGCACCGGAAACTTTAAGTGCTGAATTTAATAATTTGATAACCTGCTTGACCAATATCCTAATTTTAAATGCGTTGAATTCATTAACATATTTGTTAAATACAAAATTTAAAATCTGAAAGCTGTAAAAATTACATTTTTACTCTCAATATCTTAGTACTAGTAACAATTTTATATTTATAAAATATAAAAAGAGTAATAAAACAACCAATTGCTTTCAAATAAATATATCAATTTAACAAAGAATACTAATGTCCAAACTGATCATAAAAAGATTAACGTAATGAATGTAATTTTAAAAGTGAATGTTTGAAAACATTTAAATTAAGCTAAAAATGAAAAGTTTTAAGCACGAGAATCAAACAAATCATTTGCAATTTGGTCAAACAAATTAACCATAAATACTTGATCAGATTGTCTTTATATGCTGTGAATTTTAAAGAATGCACATCAAGAATTGAGCAATATTAGGTGGAGCCTCAAATTGCAAATCCTTGACATCATACTGCTCAAAAATTCATCCGTGGCGATTGTTTTCCAAATAATATTTATCTACAATGTAATGTGTACAAAAAGTTAATAAAGTGTATGGTAAGTATTTTTTTTTCCATGAATGATAGTTATTTAATTCAATAATAATATTACTAAAAAATATTAATTAAAAGATATTGGTAAAAACAACTAACCTGGTGGAGGAAATGGAAAGTTATTTTTTATTTCTTGTCTACCAACATAAATAAAAATAAAATTTTAAAATATACGGCACAATATAGATTTGAAAATATTTATGTGACCCACTGTGTATCGAAATGATTATATTTGTGTTGAAAGATAAAAGAAGAATTCTATCATTAAAATAATTTTGTTCCATGGTGATTAACATTTGAATTGATCTAGATGTAACCTAGGTGTTAAAGATAGTGACTTAGGAAAAGATGATAAAAATTACCAAAATCAAAACACAAAAATCAAAGAAAATTTATTTTATGTTAAATATATATATATAGTGAATTAAGGAATATTTGAACTTAAAAAAAAAAAAAAAAATTGAATGAGATAACAATATAACAAATAATAAATTATATATTTATACTTATAAAAAAAATTATTTTAAGTTTTATATATATAGTTATTAACATTTTTTTATAAAATATTTTGATTAGCAAAAAAATAAGAGTTAAAGAGTCATATTGCATAATTTGCACGGATAAATTTTGTACTAAATCATGATATATATCTCAATACTTCCTCTTTAAATAAATTTTAAAAAATTTCTTGACAATAATACTATGGTATTAATATTGTTGTAAGAACTTAGAAAATCAACATTTTCATGGTCAAGCCCACTGTAATTTTTTTAAATTAATATATTTGATCAAAATTCAGAAAAAAAAAAAAAAAAAAAAAGACATTTTAATTGGTCAAACTTGTTAACAATGTTGTGAAGTATCTTGCTTTAGATACATGATTGTAGTAATTAAGAAGCATTAAATTAAGTATTCCAAAAGTATTGAATACAAGTTTGAAATATATATTTAAAATTATATATATGTTTAGTAAATATTAGACACATATTTGTGAATATCCAAAAATATCAGTGTCTAATACTAAAATGATACAATAAGTCACCTTTGTAGAAGTATGTGTACAACCTAAATCCTTGAACATCAAGTAATTGTATAAGGCCGTGACATTAAAATGGGAAAACAAATCCTGAGAAATATATAAGAAGTATATGAACCAGTCAATCTGGTATAAATGTCATGTAATATTACCGTACGTTAAGTGTCCAACAAGGAATCCAGTCAATAGTCAATATGAGGTACCTCATGTATTAAGTTTCCATAGATGAAATTTCATAAATTAATGTTATGGACGTAAGCATACACACTGAGTTTACACTTTTTTATATTATTAAAGAGAAGTGTTAATTGCAGTGGCGCCAACTGACTGTTCATTTACCGTCACAGTTAAGATTAGTTAGTTTTAAATGCATTAATTAGTTTGAGTTTCTATTTTTATGGGGACTCTACTAACATTATTTTTTGGATAAAAATACCCTTTTAAATTATTTAATATATCTTTCTTCTTCTTCTCTTATTCTCTCCTCTTTTAATCTAGGATGTGTGGTTAGTTATGTGAATTGATTCTGAGAAAGGAAAAAAAATATAGATATGATAATTCATTCACAATAGATGGATGGATTCGGAAAAAAATAAAAGGAAGAAGAAAAAAAAAAAAAGAGCGACAAAAAAAATCCAAAAAGAATAAAAAGAAACGTTAAAAAAAAAAAAAAATCAATTATATGTTTCTTCCTTTTTTGTTTTTTCCTATATAGATATATATGTTTCTTTTTGTTTTTATTTTTTATTTTTACAACTATCCTTGTATAAATGGATTAAAAAAAAAAAAGGAAATAATTCATTCACCAAAAAAGAAATATATACATATATAAAACTAATTTTGTATATATATATATTTTTAAATCTCAGTATCTATCTTGTTATTTTTTTCGGATTGAATGGATTATCCTATCTAACTTTTTTTTTTTTTTCAGCATCCATTCACATCACATTAGTTATTATTATTATTATTATTATTATTATTATTATATATATACACACACATCCCTATATGAATTGATTAAAAGAGGAGATAAGAAGAAAGGTATAATTTAAAAGGGTATTTTTGTCTAAAAAATAATGTTAGTAGAGTCCCATAAAAATAGAAAATCAAAGTAATTAATGCATTTAAAACTAACCAATGCCAACTGCGACTGTGAATGGACAGTCGCTTGCGCGATTACAATTAACACTCCTCATTATTAAATGTCAAGTGTTTGTTTCGATGGAAGGAGGAAATAGATGAGGGATGAAAAAGGCTTTTCATATTTGATTTAACAGGAAGTGAGGGACGTAACAAGCTCCTAGCTCATGTATTTTTTATTCGTTCAAAATTAAGTGGAAGAGAGGGGAAAAGAAAGAAAAAATTTCATACAATTACGTAATATCAATTTCAACTTTTTAATTATTTACAAAATCACTCGGTAAATCCCATTGAATTTTACAGTGAACATTTACTTTTTATAAGTTTATATAATGAGTATGGATTATGTATTCAACAAAATAAAAAATGAGAGAAACATCTTTTTCTTTTCTAGCACCTATCCATTCATCCTCTCTCTCTTCTATCCATTTTTTTTTTCCCTCCCGCCAACAGGATAATATCTTGTTGAAAGACGGTTTTTGAAAAGTGAATAGTATAAAAAGACTCCTATCTATTCAAAGAAATCTTATTGAAAGACGATTAATTTCTAAGTTTCCAATCAATTAATGTGACTTTTCATGTATCATGTTTTGCCCTTTACTTTTCATTCAATAAGCAAAAACATGGGCTAGCTTTTATGTCAAATATAGCTGACTTGTGTCACATTTTGATCTTTTTTTTACGGTGTATTGACTTAAAACTTGCTTGCAGTTTATGTTGACACTCATTTTGGTAATTGGGTTTGGGCTTCAATTGGACTTGATGATCAATGATATAGTAATATGGGCCAAGAACATAAAGCCTGGTCAGTGATGATGTGCTAGGAGTTTGGGCCGAGAAGGATATCTGGGTCATGGAAGGTGATTGGATTGAATGTAGTTTGGAATAGCATTTTAGTTAGAATAAAATCCATTAGTGATATACATGAACAGTGACGTGGCAGTTCTCATACAAAATAACGCTATATGCAAGGATGCTACATGGATAGAATGTTCTTGAACTTTATGTTAGATAAGATTTATGTGTTTACTTGATTTTTGAATTAGTGTTTATCTAGGAATGTTTAGTTTGAATTTATTTTTAGTTGGTTTATCAATAGGATTAGATTTTATTTGGAATTAGTATTTAGTTAGGATTAGTTTAATTTAAATAATTATGTGGTTGTATTAGAATATAACTAGGATGCTTGTATTTAGGAATTTGTTTTACC